TCTTCCCGTGATGAACTTTATGTATGGAAAGGTCTGTTTGCTTAAGGATTACCCAGGAGAACGACTCTGTGTAACTTCTCAGATTTTAATTGATTATGAAAAATGTATAACAATTAGATTTATTGAAAAGGCACATAAAATAATAAAATAGTGCTTCAGGTATACTTTCTCAACCCTGTCTGATAAACATAACACAATTTCATTCCCTTTTAGTGTTTATATAAAAATATTTTTATTTATGTATTTTAGACATTGTCTCATGAATCCCAAGCTGGTCTCAAATTCATAGCATAGACATAAATGATTAAAATTCTCACCTTCCAGTCTTCATCTCCCAGTTTATGTGGTGTTGGGATCAAAATCAGAGCCTGTACTAACTAAACTGAATTCTCAGTTTTATACTGTTATTTTTATACACACAAGTCTCAAGTAATCAAGTACACATTCTTTAAGGCCTCTGCTTAAAAACACATACCCAGATACTTTACCTTATGTGTCATGTGTGTGCATATGTGTGTGTATATGTGTGTGTGCATGTGTGTATATGTGTGCATGCATGTGCATATATATGTGTAAGTGTTTTACCACAGATAGTAAAGGGCATAAAACTTCTGGACAAATTACATAAAACAATCAGAATAATATTATATCTAGCACTCTTAGTATAAGAAATCCTCATGTAGTAGGAAGAAGTAACTACTAATTTCAGCTAATAATGAATTTCATTTAATTAATTAGGAAAAAAGTGAACAATATTGGAGTTTGCTGTAGAGTAGTTTCTAATCTACTTTCAATGTAACTTTTGTATATCTGTTAAACTTTATTGATTCCCATGCTTTAAGCCCAAGTGCTATAGCTCTCTGGTTGAGAAGGCAACTTTGTGTAATGTGGAATATACAGTGAAAACCACTCAGATATGAATAACAACACCACCAAATGACACAGATTTTATTGAGGAAGATTATCCCATTACCTTTTCTTACCATTTCTCATTCTCACTGACCCTTTTCCTCCTTGCAGCTAACCCCTTCCAATTCTATTATCATATCCTGGAGGGAGGATCTCATGAAAACCTACTCTCCCTGGGAATTTACAGGTAGTTAAGAGTAATTGAAGGCCCTGTTCCTCCCAGATGGTTTACAGATAGTTAACAGTAGCTAAGGGGAGGCACTCATGAGATCTTACCCCTGTCCCTGAGAATTAGTAAACAGTTAGCAGTAACTAATGGGATAGTGGCTGATTTAGTCATAATTTACTCTTCAATATAAAGATAGAGATGAGGGACTTGGTGAGATGGTTCAGAAGTTAAGAGCACTCAGTGTTCTTCCAGAGGATCCCAGTTGAGTTCACAGCACCTGTGTCAGACAGCTCACAACTGTCTGCAATTCCAGCTCCATGGCAGCCAAAACCCTCTGAAGGCTTTTTCACATGTGTGACATATATATTCTCACATACACAAAAAATTAAAAATTAAAAATAAATAATAAAAAAGTAAAGGTATGTATAACTACTTAGTAGTTACGATGTATTTTTACAGAAAGGGAGGTAGGCAGGAGAGATAGATTGGCTACTAACAGTATTTATTACTCTTGTATAGGACTTGGATTCAGTTCCTGGCACCCACATAACAGCCCACAACTGTCTGTGATTCCAAATCTAGGGGACCCAATGCCCTCTTCTGCCCTCTCCAGTAACCAGGCTTGTACAGGGTACACAGACATAACTTTAGGCAAAATGTTTATACACATAAAATAAATATATTTAAGTTTTTTAAAATAAATTAAACAAGAATTTAAATACAGAAAAATTAGACCTATGATAAATGCCATAATTAAATGGGCATAGTTGGACATCATTGAGTTATATGAAGCTAAAAAGAAATACCCCCAAGACAGCACACCAGAAAGACCCTTTCCCCAAAAGCTGGAAATACTTACTGGTCGATGGCCAAGAAGAGGTAACACATTCTGCGATATAAAAACAACTTTTCCATCTATGTTCAACACAATTGAAATGTTTTCAAATGACTAGTAAAGAGAATAATAACATAATCAAATAGTGCAACAATTATAAAATGATAGCTTTATTTATAAGTTTATAAATAATGTGAACAGAATACTGAAAATGTGTATTGCTTACATATCAATGAAGTGGACATATACTTAATTAAAAAATCTGTTATTCTGCCTCCTACACAGAATCTACTTAATCTTAAGCATGAGATACTTATCAAATGATGTGTCACTTAGACAAACAAATTTCAATGTACACCCAACAAACACTAAACTCTCCAGCACAAGCTAGGAAGATTAAGTTCTGTGTCTAGATTGGCACACTTCAAGTATATTTAATTTTAAATACCAAGAATTTTTAAGGGCACTTTCATTTGTGCTTAGTCTTGTTATCTACTTATAAAGATGATTACTGCCATCCCTTTTCTTCTGTATAATGGATATAATATGTAGACAAATACTTCCTTGTTTATAACACTTAAATGAATTTTTTAATCCATAAAAATGTTTTCAGGATTGATTCTATACGTTTCATTAGGGCTGCTAACAGGAGCATGGGTAAGGGGTTCAGTGTAGGTGTTTGAGTACATTTCCAGTGGCTACAGCTTGAAGAAAATGTCTCTTGTTCCTTTAGCAACCAATAAGTGCCTAGAAACCCTTAGGAAGAGCTGAGGACTCATGATCTGCTCTCCCTTAGCTTCTGTTTACTATTAATTCTCAGGGAAATATGTGGTGTCATGAAATCCTTTTCCTCCAAGTTATGATAGTAGAAGGGTAGAGTATGTGGGAGGTAGAAAGTGGTCAGTGAGAAGGTGAAGGGACAAGAGAGGGTAATGGGATGCAAATTTCATCAAAATACATTGTATAAATGTATAAAATGTCATAGTGAAACTGACTATTTCATACAATTAATGTATGCTAATAAAATAATGAACTTGCTTTCAATACTAGGACCAAGCTCATAGTAAAGTAAGGGAAACAACATACCTCAGACTAGTATGAATGTGGGCACTAGGACATAAAGGAATGTTAGAGACTTGGGAAACCTGTCCATCACAGATGTCTTAGAGCTTGGGAATAAAGCAAAGGTGTGTTAACAGATAGTACAGGAAGTCAGAAACCATGGTGTGAAGCCAGGTTTCCAAAAATGTGTTATCTAGAGCATGGGAAATTCCAAAAGATTGTTCAAAGGTGATGTGGACATGTGTGTGCCTGCCTCAGTTTCAATTCTAAGAAGAGGATAACTAAAGATGGGCTGTTTTAGCAAGTACTAATCAAATGTCCATATTCACTTTAATAGAGCTACCTACAATCCAGCTACTGCATGTGTGATCTTCAACAACTCCAATCTAATATGTCATTCAAAGCAGTCCTTAGCCCTGTTCTGCAATAAAATGTTTATTTTAAGAAACAGGCTCACAGAATTCATGCAGACAGATAAGTTACAAATAAAGGATCTCATAGTAAAAACAAAATAGCAAACACAGGGAATGGAAATCTATTATAAATGAAGAGTGTATAGAAACAGTAAAATGAAGGATGAGATTAAAAAAATTGGAGTTTTAAGGCACAAAAAGAGTGCTGAATATTGGAACACACACGACAAGGGTTTTAAAAAATTTGAGTGAACCCAAGACACTAAACTGGTCAGAGATGTGAAACATAAGCAAAAGGTTTTCTAATGAAATTATCATAAAAATATCAATTCAGGAGCTGAGATTGTAGATCAGTGGCAAAACACTTCCTTAGCATGTATGAGGCCCTGGGTTCTATCCTCAGCATAAGGGGAAAGAAAACATCAAAGCAGAGGTTAAACTGCACAGTAAAACACAACCGGATAGCTTGGGCATGTGGTTATGTTGGTAGAGTACATATGCTCAAGGCCCTGGTACCCAAGCCCAGTAACAAAATACAAAGCAAACACAAATGGAAAAGGACTAGAACTGAAGACAAGACTCTGACGACAAGCTTTGAGAAGATTGTGAAGAAATGTGAATCCCTGTGTATTGTCACTGAGAGGTTAAAATGAAGAAGCTGTAAAAAACTATATGGCCATACCTCAAAATATTAGAGGACACCATAGACTCTAGTGTTTCTACTTCTGGACAAACAGAAGAAAGAGTTGAAAGCAGAGCCTCAAATGGCTGTGTTCATCCACATTCTCAGCAGCATTATTCACACTGGCCAAAGTTGGAAGCAATCTGGTATGGTTTGGATATGGTCAGTCCTCCAAGCATTCACGTACTGGAAGCTTGATCCTCAATGTACAGTGGGAGAGGTGGTAAAGTATTTAAGAGGAGAGGCCTAGTCGGGCGGTGGTGGCACATGCCTTTCATGCCTGCACTCAGAAGGCAGAGGCAGGTAGATCTCTGTTAGTTGGAGGCCAGCCTGGACTAGAGAGTGAGAATCAGGAAAGGTGCAAAGATACACAGAGAAACTCTGTCTTGAAAAAAAAAAAGAGAGGCCTAGTGGGAGGACACTGAGGATACTTCCCTCATTAGTAATTGATTTACTTCTTATGAGACTGTGGTTGTTTCCTAACAGGTGTTTGTTACAGAAGAAGACTGATAATTAATCCCCATGATCTGGCTTTCTGATTTACAGTATGATTGTTCCCTCTCATATGTGAAGCCAGTTCCACTGTGAAGCCATCTCACAAATGATACAGCCAAGAGGCCATTAAAAGAGGACACAATTTTCAACTTGCAGCTAAATAAGCCTCATTTCTTAGAAGACAGCTATGCTAACCACTACACTACCAATGCGACATCAAGCTTCTTGTTTTCATATAGCTCTCTAACTCAACTATTTGATTTAGCCACAGAGAAGTATTAACACATATTCCAAGCAACTGACAGATAAAAGCCTCTGCAAAATGTTATATAACATGTAAGTGACTATTATTCAGCCTTCAGAGAGAATTCTGTGATCAGCTACAACATGAATGGATCACATAAATATTTTAGTGAGTGAAATAAGCCACCCGGAAAAAGAAGAATGTAAGGTTCTATTTTATGACATAAATAAATCTCTAAAATAATCAAATTTGTAGAGACAGAATGGAAGTGAAGAGCAAAATGTAAAGGTACAATAGACCCTTAAAAAAGAAAGTAAAATGTCCAATTATTTGAAAAGAACAATACTGGTAATAAACCTCTGATGAAGTGATTTGCAAAGTGAAAAGCACAATCTTCTTAAAAATATTTTTGTTTTATATGTATGAGAGGAAGGAATTATCCCAGTTTCACAGCACAAACCACAATGTTCAAGCATGCATTTTGTTTCATAAAATTATTGAAAGATTTCAAGTGATATATTTTGAGGCCTCTTAACAATACAAATTTCAGTATATCAACAAAAATTTCTTTTTAATAAAAGTGCTTGAAAGGACATAAAATGTCCCCATGTGGCTTAGGTTTCATCTAAGAACATATATTGTTATAACACTTGTTGCATTATTTGAAAGCATATGCATAACTCTTCCAGTTATTCTTTGAAAAGTGCTGTAGTAGCCGGGCAGTGGTGGTTCACGCCTTTAATCCCAGTACTCGGGAAGCAGAGGCAGGTGGATCTCTGTGATTTTGAGGCCAGCCTGGGCTACAAAGTGAGTTACAGGAAAGGCACAAAGCTACACAGAGAAACCCTGTCTCGAAAAAGAAAAAAAAGAAAAGTGCTGTAGTGCATCTTGCATTGTATGTGATTTACATGTAAAGTAACCAACAAACAAAAGCACCCTTACCTGAATAACTGTCTTATGAAATTCTTCATAGGTATTGAAGACGGGAACTTTATATTGGTCAAAGTTGGTTCTTACATTTAACACTCCTTTTCAGAAAAGAATGGAGAGGTATTGTATTAAGATAATTAGCAGTCAATATTATATTCCTCAAACTTATAATTTAGGAAAATATTTTATTATTTTGTGAATGTATGTTGGAGGAAAGTTCCATAGCTCATATGTGGAGGTCAGAGACAACTTTTAGAAGTTGATTCTGTACTTTCACATTTATATGGGTTCTGAGGATGGAACTCAAGTATTCAGGTTTGCATGCCTTGTGCATTTAACCACTGAACCATCTTGCCAGACTAAAGTTATAATTAATATTATCAAAAAGACTCCAACTTTGGAGTACCAATCCTTATAAAGAAAGAAATGAGGCAACTGAAAATCACCCAAGTTATTGGTTTCCTTTTGGTTCTGTCAAAATTTACGATCCATAATATGTCAAGTTAAGAATTATTCATAGACTCATACTACCAGTAGCTACCTAAAAACTGGAACTGTATTCTTTTCATTTCTGGACAAAGGTTTTTCACTGGAGAATCTTCAAGCCTCAACAATTGTCCCTGTTTTGCTCCCAATCTCCAGGTCTACTCAATGAGCAGCACACTTGAACTTGTCTTCTGCTCCTCCTCCTCACAGCCCTACCACCCCTCCTCCTTGATATGAATCAGCAAAGCAATTCAGCAACACAACCTCCTATCTCCATGCTTTGCATCCATAAGAATTAGCTCCTCTACACACAAGAAAAAGAGAAAGACTCAGGGTATACAACCCTTGTGCTTGGTGATTCTGACTTTAGGGCAGGAGTCTCACAGCATGCCCTTGGTGAATATTCTGGGGGGAAGAATACCTCAAGTGTCTTCACTAAAGAGGCAATGAGAACAGGGTGTGTAGCTTCAGTGAAGTAAATGAAGAGTGGTAGCAGCTATAGCATTGTAGAAGAGTGCTGAAGAATTAATGCAATGTGAAGGAGTGGACACAAGGCCTAACAAATATTAAGGGAAGTTTAACTACAGAGAGGGAATAGAAACAGAGAAACTCCTAGAGGAATAATGTAGTCAGGAAAATAGTTGTTTCACTTAAGATTAGGAGAGTTAGAGTATCTGCTTATGGGCATAAAGCCATCTCATGTTCTTAACTAAATGTGCCCGATGCTATAAGTTTCATCTTACAGGTCCACAGAAATGGACATTACTATTTTCCATATATGCTTCTAGTAAGCTCCATTCTTGCACAAGCCTCGGGAATATTTTATGCATTGAGCAGAAAAGAAACACATCAAAACAAAGCCTTGTGAATGGAGAGAAACAAACTGTGTAGCCAAAAGTACTTCAAGGTCTCCTCCAACCAATACTCTGTTCCCTAAGACACTTGAAGCATGGTGAGGGTTGTGTTGCTTTCAAGTCAGCAATGGCACATGGAAGAAATGGGCCTGTGTCAAACCTCTTGGATCAGAAGGTGAAGAGGTAGATGCAGAGGCAATAGTTGCCTGACATCTTGCAGGTCGTGTTCTGATTCTCGGACTAGATGGTCCGTTTCCAACCTTATCCATCATTTCCCGAAGTTTCTTCATCAAATTGGAAATATCCTCCTGTGTTGGCTTCTGGGTACATTTAAAGGACACTCTATAAACAGAAATGTGAAGAGTGAGCTTCCTGAAGAGTAAGGCTGAGGCAAATTATTCACATGGTGCTTCAATAGGATTAAGATGACAGAAAGATAGACTTTTGCATTAATTAAGCATCCAGTGTCTTCAATACACAAAATAACTACTGTAGCAGAATATGTCAGCTAATGGCCTTAATCCCAATACTCAGATGGGAAGGCAGGAGGATTGAGGATTTGAGGTAAATTTTGGGATAAGTCACATGAGCTAGGCTTTGAAATAAATAATATATGAACAAGAAAACAAATAAATCAAAATTCTATTTAAAATAATGAAATGATGGTGAGGCTCTTAAAAGCAGAGACCAATCTATTTCTATGTCTCCTCAGCACAGTCCGACACCATGCCTGGAGCTGTAGTTTAGCAATTACTTGAAATAAACCTAAATTCACTTGAGTGTAATGGTTTTTGCTTTACATCTGTTTTCACCTGCTTTAATAACAATAAGTCTGACTAGGTGTTCCAATGCAATTGAGTGCAACAGAGTGGAAAACCCAAGAAAGAGGCCATATTTCTCCAGAGAGAGCCAGGGTTTCCTCAGAAAGTCTATTTGGCTAGATTTGAAATAAAAACAGGGGACAGGGCTTTGCCATCTACAACAGTTATGAATTCTTACTTCTTTTTTTGTTGCTGTTCACGCTCCATTTTTCTGTCAGGTATAGGTGGAATCTAAAACCAAATCAGAGCAATGTATTACCAAGTAATCATCTTTCTACAATATACAGCATCTACCTGTGCTTTATCTATCACCTATTAACTTTATATCCTCCATTTATCCCATTTTCTCTCTTCTATAACCTATCTTTGATATGTCATCTCTCAACTATCTACCATCTATCTTTCCATCATCTATTGTCTAACATTTCTTTTCTACATATCATCATCTATCTTCTATCATCTAACAACTGATTATCTCTCTCCTATCATGAACTATATTTCTATCACATATCTCCTATCATCTATTATCTATCAAATCTGTCTAAATTCTATCATCTATGTATATAAATGAACTCTCTATTTGCTATGTTTTTATCATATATGTACCTCTCATTTTTTAATACCTACCTTCTTATATTTTTGGTTGTGAGCCTAGCCTTTAACGGCTGAGCTATCCCTCCAGCCCTCCTATCTTCTATCTACCATGTATCACTTATTTTATATTGCCTGTCTTTTATGCTGTATATAACATCTGTCATGGATTTATACTGATCATCTAGCTATTAACTATATTCAAGCCATGCTGTTTTTCACTTATTTCCCATCAATAATCTGTCCTCTTACAAACCTGTTTCTATCTTTAAGCTATTATCTTCTATCTTTAATCCATCATCTACCTATTCTGTGCTTTCATTATATATACCATTAATATTCTTGCTGTCTGTCTCTAATTTCTGTATATCATTGATGAACTAACTATATATACTGTATCCCTAAGAGACCAATATTTTCATCCTTCATCCATCTTCTACCTATTCTAAGACTTTGATTCATCTATTATCTTCATTTAACTACTGTCTATCCTATAGCTCTCCTGTGTCTATCATCCACCATCTGTCATCTAGCTACCCTTTGTTTATTTCTCAAATTTCTATAATCTGTCATACATACATCCTGTGTCTAAATTCCATCTATCTCTATTATGTAGCTCTACTATGGCTATCTTCCTATATACCCTCTAACTATCCTGTGTCTATCATTGTGTCTATCCTGTAGTTATCCTGTGTATATCTACACTGTAGCAATCCCGAGTCTATCTTCCATATATAAATCACCTATCATCTAGCTATCCTGTATGTTTGCCATTAATTATTAGTCCTCTAACTACCATATATCTTCCTTCCATCTATCTTTTATCTATCCTCTTCTGTGTCTATTTTTCACTTATCATTTTCCATCTATGTAGCATTTATCACCCAGCTATCCTGTGTCTGTCTACCATCTATCCAGCCTCCAGCTTTCCCTTGTCTTTCATCTATCAATTATTTATTCTCAAGATATCCTATGTTGATCTTTCTCTATCACCTCTCCTCTACCTATCCTGGGTATATATTTTACATGTATTTTACCCACTAGCATGTCTATGCTCAACTTCCATATACTTGTTTTACATCTATTATATATCTTCTACCTATCCTCTGTTTTCTATCTATCTTCATTCCTCTACCTATTCTGTAACTATCATCCATCATCTACATTCTAGCTATATTATGTCTATTATTCATCTGTCATTTATCTTCTAACTATCCTGTGTCTATCTTCCATCTATCTATCATATATCCCTTAGCTATCCTCCATTATATATCTAGCCAACTTTCATCTCTCTTCTTTCTTCTATACCCCCATTTTTCAATTTATTACCTATTCTTTATCTTAGTTCTTCATCTTCTACTATTTATACATTATCATCTATTGTCTATATTCTACCATCATTTTGTATCAATGACTAATAATGTATCCCTT